AAGGGATGGGTATCCGATGGGGTTCTCTGCTCCCTCATTTCATAATGGGCGATGGACTTAGGTCCGGAGAAATGTGTCTGGTTTTGGTTGGGGTCACCGACAGCCTCCCTCTGGGGACCCAGACATCCACAGTAGCAATGGTCCGGAGGAGTTCCAGCTCAGAATTCCAGGGCACACGAGTCAAACGTAACTCCAAGAAAGAGGCAGCATCCATAGCAGAGGGACACTGGGTTTCAGACAGACAGTGGCTCAAATCTTAGCCCACCTTCTTAGTAGCTGTGTGGCTTAGGTAAGCCACTTACCCTCTCTTAGCCCATTTGTCTCTAACATTAGTTCCAACAGAAATATCATTTCCCTTGCAGAATAGATTCACTCAACTCCTGCTTATTGAGTAAGCTCCCCTATGGATCCTTAAGTAGTGGTAACTGAATGTGAGAATTACCTAAATAATATAAGTGACAGTGCCCTGCAAACTGTCATGACATCGTTTGTTTAGGCAGGTGACAAGAGTCTAGATCATGGTCGGTCACGGGGAGAGAGATGTGAGTTCTATGGACAAGAAAATAAATCATGTGGCTCCTTTCCCTCGATCCTGCAGGAGACCAGAAACGGGATCCTGCCATCCCTGGGGAAAACGGGAGAGGGGAGGTCAAACCACGACCCTAAACCTTGCCAAAGGGACTTCTCTACCCGAGTGAGGGTGGACTTAGGATTTGCTGTGAGCTGTGCCAGTCCAGATGAAAGTGAGAGCCAACTTCTCTCCAGCTCTGCCTGTTTGGGGGCAGGTGTTGGTGAGGTAGGAGAGGTGCAAACATTTTTTTCCCCAAAGAGATATTTTTTTGGGGTGTGTAGAGTATGTCAAAAGCTCAGGACACAAAGGGATCCAACTGGATTAGAGAGACTGACTGGATCCTCCTGAGATCCAGGGCTTTTCATTTTATCAGGTGCATCCGTGGGAAGGTGTCGCAGTGTTGTGCCGGTGTGTGAAGCAAATCCCGGACATCTAGCAGCATTTGGGGGTGTGTATAGGATGCTGATGGAAAAACAGACTTTGGAGTTAGATCCATGTTGTGTTCAAGTCTTGATTCTGTCCCATGACTTCCTTGCTGGGGTGACCCTGGACAAATCAAAATCAGGTGAATAGTGATACTGACAGGCAGTGTTTTTTATTGTGATACATTGTACCTAGCACATTTTTTTTTTTTTTTACCATTGTAGCCATTATAAACTACAGTTAGTGGCATTAGGTGCATTCATTAGGTGCCTGGGGATGTGCATCCACGACCACCATTCATCTCCAGAATCCGAGGAGGCTTCAAACCTTCAGCAGGTAATACCTTCCAGGTGCCACTGCCAAGCCCRCACTCGACTGGAGTCGACCCTTTCAGAATGGAGAGACGTGAGGGCACCGGGGAGAGCAGAATCACCTGGGCATGCAGCAGCCCTTGACAGGGATCTGCTGTGAATGCTCTTCACCAGTTGGGATATTTAGATACTGGGGGGAACCACTGCACTCTAAGTTGGCAGCCAATTGGAAGGATAGTTATTTTTTCCGTGTAAYGACATGGAGATACCCAGTGTTCCCTGTAGGAAAGACAGCGGCTTCTGTCTTACCATCAAGTGCGCTAACGTTCGTCCACTCTTGGTTCTCTGCTCCCTCATTTCACACAAAAAAAGGAAAATTGGATTATAAAGAATTTCCCATAGGAAAAGAATCTGGCCAGAACTAGTCTTTATAGGGACAAGGAATCTTACCTATTCTAATTTAGTCCCCAAACGATCGYATCTCAGAGATAACACACTTGCTAGTGAGGCAGAAGCTGCCCTCTTTCTTATGGGGAACACTAGGTATCCCTGCCCCTATCATTGCCAGCTGGGTCAGTACAATAGCACATAAACTTGGATTCACATTGAATGTATACCAGCTACAGGGATGTCAGGAGCAGCAGGCTACATTTTGGRTTGCAAGAGCAACACTAATGTAACATTGTCTCTCAGAGTGGGCTATGTCCAGGTGGCAATGAATCCCAGGCATTCACTGATAAGGGTGAATACTTGAAATATATGGCAGAGTAATCATTTTTTCTTCCTGTACACATTTTGTACCAAACTGGATCTCCATGAATTTCTTGCCATAAAAGGACATCTACAGAAAGGTATTTTAATTTCTCAGATTATAATTGGCCCTCTGTATCCAGGTTCTACACTCACAGATTCAAACAACTTCAGACTAATAATAATAATAACAACAACAACAATAACAATTGCATTTCTACTGAGCATGTACAGCTTTTCTTTTCCTTGTTGTTATGTTGTAATACAATATAACATCTAAAAAAGGGCATGGAGAATAGTGAGGTGTTCCCAGGAATTACTCTCAGAACTTAATGTCATCAAAAAGTAAACTTCTAGAAGGGGAACTGATGAGTGACGTCAATCTCTGCAAATGAATCACAGTAAACCCACCTCTGCTGAAGCTCTGCGTCAGAGGCTCTCAGATGTTGCACAGGGGAACATTTGGCAACGTCTGGAATCATTGTAGTGGTCGTGACTTGGGAGGGATCGTGCCTCTGGCATCTGGTGCATGAAGGYGGTCAGGGGTGCTGTTCAGACTCTGCAATACCCAGGACAGGTCCTCACAGAAAGAATTACCCATCGCCAGTAGGGCCAAGGTAGAAAAATCCTGCTTGGGATTTTCAAGAGGAGCTTGGGACTTTCAAGCCTCTGCTGACAGACTGCAGAAGGGCAGGGAGGTGCTACTCAGTAAGGACAAGGACACCCAGCATGGCACTGAAGAGAATGACTGGTCCAGGGTCAGGCTTGACCATGGAGGGGGACACCATGTTGAACCACAGCAACAAAAGCCAACAGGGGCTGAGAATGTCCCGTGTCCCCAGCACTGTGCTAAGCATGGCATGTCCAGCTCACAATCCGTTCTTAAAATATTTTAAACTGACATAGAGTAATCCCACATTTTTATGGGGTACAGTGTGATATTTCAACATGTTTATAATAGGTAGTAATCAGGTCAGGATAACTGGATTCTCCATCACCTCAGACATGCTTTGTGTTGGGAACATTCAACATTCTTTGGTTATTTTGAAATATTTAATTGTTGCCAACCCTAGTTATCCCACCCTGCTACCGAGCATTACAAGTTCTTTCTCCTACCCATCGGCATTTATGGGAAGCCATCTGTGAATTACATGGGGATTTTCTCTCAGTATGGAAGCCAGGGAGATGTAGGTTTGGCTTTGGGTACCATCCGTGGCTCTCCCACAGCAATAGGTTTCCCAGTGCACATGACCTTTATCTCCGCTCCGCCAGGAAGACCCCTCATAGAAGCTCTGGAGATGGGCGTAACCCATTGGGAAATGGACAGACCACCTTTAACCTTTTTTTTTTTTTTTTTGGCAAAGAACATTCTATGGAACGCCTCTGATGTTTCCCGATATAAATAAATGGCTCGGGCTCCATTTTGGCCAGAGGCTGGAAGCTGGATCCTTCTGATCAGCTTGCCTGTTCTGCCCCCGCTTTTTGAAATTACTTTCTGTGTGCTGTGTTTTTTTTTTTTCCATTTTATTTCTTTTAGCTTTTATTTTTCCGCCAACCCATTCCGCAGAGGGGGACATGGGTGGGAGGCATTCCTCTACCCGTTAACCAAACTCTCTATCCCCGCTCCCTGTTCCCTTCCCAGGCTCTGGAAACCACATGATTTCATTCTCTACCTCTCTGRGATCAACGCTGTAACTCCCACAACATGAGTCAGAGTATACGGTACTTGTCTTTCTGTGATTTATTCACTTAACACAGTGTCCTCCAGTTGCATCCATGTTGCTGCAGAATCTCATTCTTTTAAAACAGCAGAATAATATTCCACTATGTATAGACAGACATTTTCTTCCTCCATCCATCTGCTGAAGGATCCCTCTGCTGTTTTCTTTTCTTGGCTAATGACGGTGCTGCAGTAATGCCTGAGGGTGCAGATGTCTCCCCCACACGCGCCTCTCACTTCCCTTGGCTGCACCTAGCGGTGGGACTGCTCAGCCAGTCATCTTTACTGTCTTTCTCCTCCAGAGAATTAGTGATGTTTTCCATGTATCGGGCACTTGCCRTGTGACAGGCACTGAACTCTTAGCATCATCCTTGGACTTAACCTTTACAGACTGTGACCCTGATTATTTTCACCCACTTTCTGAGTGAAGAGATGGATATGGAGCGAGACCGTGAGGTTGTGTGCTAGTCCAGGGTGTCTAGCTTTCCAGCCGGGGGCTCTTCCTTAACCATCATCCCATGTGCTTTATTCCTTTTTCTTGGAACAAACTTCCCTCCTCCAACTTCCTGGGAAACTACTTGACCTTCCAAACTCAGCTCCCGTGCCGCCTCCTGTGCTGTGCGTCCATCATTGGAGCTGTGGGAGGCACGTGGGATTCCCGGACAACGTGAGTGTGTCTGAGAGCTTGGAGCTTGCTGAGGAAATGGTGTGTTTCTGGTTCAGGTGTGCAGTTCTTGCTGGTCCTTGGTGAGTTCACCAAGTTCTTGTCCACTTCATTCTCCCATGTGATACTTATTAGAGACATAAAATCTTCAAAGGGCTGGTGTCTCACAGAGTCCTTGAAGTTGATTCAGACCCACTGTGAGCCACTACTCTACCATCCGAAGCAATGAAGCCATTAAAAATAGCCAAGCTCTTTGGCCACTGTCCTTCCTGCCACCCATGAGCTGTTGTCACAGTGCCTGTCTGGTTTGCACTTCGTAGAGTCACACGGGCAGGTTGACTACAGAGATGGGTCCTGATAGAGTTCTCCTCGCTCCATGGTCTCACCAGGCATTTGGACCCTTCTCTTGGTTTTCTTGCTACTTGTTGCTTCTGCTTTTCTTTTTCTCCCAACTCTTTTGGAATCTCCCCTTTACTCTGGCTCCAGGACTCCTGGAATGAAGGGCGTTGAACATTCCACCAAGGTTTTGTTTCCGTCTTTAATGTGGACCTCAGAACCTCAATGACAAGGATCACTGGGGAGCTCTCCGTTGGAGGTGGCCAGCTGTTTCATTCAGAGACACACATTGCCCCTCTCCCAGCCTGTGCCTGTGACAGACACCTCTCGCTGACCAAAGCTCTCCCCTATGTGCTGATTCTCCCTGTGGCCTCGCGGCTCTTGAGACAGTATCCTGGGCAGTCGCTGCCGTCCAACGGCAGTGACCATGAGGGTCGAAGTCATTGGCCACCCTCTCTGAGGTTCCTTGCCAGAGGTCTCTCGTTCTTCTTGCAGCTGAAGTATGCTGTGAAGAGCCTGAGGGATATGAATCAGTCGGTGGCCTCCGGCTTCTTTCTGGTGAACCTCTTCAGTGGCTCAGGGCCACACCGTGTCCTCTTCTCCCTGGTGGCCGCCGCRTTTACCTTGGGTCTTCTGGGAAACACCATTCTGCTGTTCTTGATTCGCCTGGACTCCCAACTCCACACACCCATGTACTTCCTGCTCAGCCAGCTCGCCCTCTTTGATGTGGGTTTCCCCCTGGTCACCGTCCCCAAGATGGCCTCAGACTTCCTGCGGGGGGAAGGTTCCATCTCCTTCGGAGGTTGTGCAGCTCAAATATTCTTCCTGACACTKATGGGTGTGGCCGAGGGCGTCCTGCTGGCCCTCATGTCCTACGACAGGTACCTCGCCGTGTGCCACCCCCTGCAGTACCCTGTGCTCATGAGACGCCGGGTGTGCCTGCTCATGGTGGGCTCCTCCTGGCTGGCGGGGGTGCTCAACGCGTGCACGCAGACCTCCATCACCCTGCACTTCCCCTACTGTGGCTCCCGCACCGTGGACCACTTCTTCTGYGAGGTGCCAGCCCTGCTGAAGCTCTCCTGTGTGGACACCTCGGCCTATGAGCGGGCGCTGTCCACCTCGGGAGTGCTGATCCTGGTGCTGCCGCTCGCCCTCATCGCCGCCTCCTATGGCCACGTGTTGCGGGCTGTTCTGCTCATGCGCTCGGAGGAGGCCCGAGGCAAGGCCTTGGCCACCTGCTCCTCGCACCTCACGGTCGTGGGCCTCTTCTATGGAGCTGCGGTGTTCATGTACATGGTGCCTGGTGCCTACCACAGCCCCCTGCAGGACAATGTGGTCTCCCTGTTCTACAGTCTGGTCACCCCGACTCTCAACCCCCTTATCTACAGTCTGAGGAACCGGGAGGTGCAGAGGGCTTTGGTCAAAGTGCTCAGCAGAGCTGGTCTCAGGGCAAAGTGGTGACCACACCCGGAACTGCTGGCACGATCCCAGTGTCCCTTGACCCCACCTTCTTTCCAGAGCACCCACCCTCTGTGGAGCAGCTGYTGGGGCCTCATGTCCACAGCAGAGCATCTGTCCTGTTCTTCCAGCCTCCACAACCAGCCGTGCTCCTTTCCCGCCGTGGACTTGTGGAAAGCAATGCTCAAGGTGCCAACCATCTTTAGTGCATCCTTTCTGCAAAGGGGAGGCCTACCCRGTCAAGCTGAGGTCTCTCTGTTGTTGTTGATTATACCCTCAACGATGAACTTGTTGGCAACTTGGTCTACCATGCATAGGTGGTTTCATGCTCAAGACGGCCTGAAGATATTTAAGAGAAAGAGATCTGAAAAACGACTCACCAATGGTCACGCTGAAAGAAAGCGGCCGAGCTGGGACTAGAACCCTTATCTTCCTGTGCCAAAGGCAGCCCTCCCACTGCGGTGATGTTTGCTTGCAAAGTGGAGACCCCCGACTGCAATGTGTTGTGTGTGTGTGTGTGTGTGTGTGTGTGTTGGTGGGATGTCTAGGCAACATCTGGAAGACCACCAGATCCTTGAAGATGTGAATCACTGCTCCAGGTGGATGGGGTCCACTTAATGGTATTTACAAAATATCTGTTAAACTTTGGGATTTATTGAGGTGTGCACTGTGGATTAGGGWCAATAGCCAGTTAGTATTTTGGGGGATGGGGGCAGGGCTGAATTTAGCTTCTCGTCAATAAATAATCCAGCTATTGGGTCAGTTTCAACTGTGAAAAATAGCTTCACAGCCTTATCAAGGTAAGGTGGATGGATGATAAATTGTGTACCTTTTGTGTGTGAAATGTGGTGAGTGTGGCCTGTCTACACACCACTGTGAATGARTCACCCTTCAAGACAGGGAGGGATACGGACGTCACCCACCAGCTTCTTGGTGCTCCTTTGTCACTTCTTCCATGATCTCCAAGCAGCCATTGATATCTCCAGGAACCACTGATGTCTCTACAGATTAGCTTCCATTTTTTTTTTTGAGTTTTATATAGCGTATGTATGGTTTTTGTGTGGCTTCTTTCACTCTGCAGAGTGTTTTGAGTGTCATTCATTCTTGAACCCAGAGCTCGTTCCCTTTAATTGTTGAGAGACAGCCCACTGCACGCAGCGCCCTGGGAGCTCCCACCCACGTGCTGTGTTGTGAGGTGGCTGCTAGAGCTTTCTTGGAGCTGCTGCTAACAGGGCGCGTCTCCTTYCCCCATTCTACCCATTTATGTCTTCTTGTCTAAAGGGCCTTTGCTGTAGGCAGTGTAGAGACACGATTTCATCATCTCTGCCCTTTTCGTTGAGGTAAAAATACACATAACAGGGGCTGGGGCTGGGGTTCAGGGGTAGAGCGCTCGCCTAGCACATGTGAGGCCCTGGGTTTGATCCTCAGCATCACATGAAAATAAAAAAGATACTGTGTCCAACTACAACTAAAACAAAGTATTGAAAAATACACATAACAGAGTGAATTCCTTGGTACAGTGGAGAAGTGGTACAACGTTGTGCAACCGTCATTTCTGTCTAGTTTCACAATGCTTTTATTATTCCAAAGGGAGTCTTGATGCCCCTAGAAACCCATTCCTGATTGCCACACCCTGTYGATCCTGGAAACCAAGAATCTCCATGCATTCCATATGGTGAACGTTTTGTATACATGGAATTACATGTGACTTTTTGCATCTGACTTTTTTCATTTAGTGTATATATATATTTTTTGTATGTGGGGTGGGTACTGGGGATTGAACTGATGGGCACTTGACCACTGAGCCACATCCCCAGCCCTTTTAAATATTTTATTTAGAGACAGGGTCTCACTGAGTTGCTTAGTACCTCGCCATTGCTGAGGCTGGCTTTGRACTCACGATCCTCCTGCCTCAGCCTCCTGAGCCACTGGGATTACAGGTGGTGTGGGCCACTGTGTCCAGCTAGTGTAATGTTTTTGATATTCATCTGAACTGTAGCATGTATCAGTGCTTCATCCCTTTTTTTTTTTTCGAGCATTATAGTTATGTGTAGTAGTTGGGTACATTTTGACAAGATCATACACACAAGGAATTTGATTTCAATCCCCATTCCCTGTACCCCTACCACCCCCCTCCTCCTCACCTCTATTCTCCTCTACTATACTGATTTTCTTTTCGCTCAGTTATTGATTTCTGATTGGTACTTCCTACATATACATGAAGGAGATGTTCCTTTGGTACATTGGTATGTATGTAACACGATTCACTCCACATTTCCCCCTTCCCACTTGCTCTCCTCCTACTCCACAGATGATCTCTGTATCTTTATGATATTTGATTCACCCTTGCCCCTGCTCCATCTTCTTTCCCTTATTTTGCTCTGRCTTCCACATATGAGATAAAATATTCAAMTCTTGACTTTCTGAGTCTGACTAATTTCACTTAACATAACATTCTCCATTTCCATCCATTTATTGGAAAATGCCATAATTTCATTCTTCTTTATGGCTAAGTAAAACTCTATTGTGTGTGTGTGTGTGTGTGTGTGTGTGTGTGTGTGTGTGTATCTCACATTTTCTTGACCCATTCATCTATTGACAGGCATCTGGGTTGATTCAATAATTTGGCTACAAGCACTTCACTCCTTTTTATAGTTGCATAGTATTCTATTGCATGGATACATCACATTTTCATATCCATTCGTCTGTTAATGTACACTTGGGTTGGTTCCATGTTTTGGCTAGTGTGAATAGTGCTGCTATGACAATTCATGCACATATTTTTGTTTAAATACCTGTATTCAGTTCTTTTTTGTATATACTTGGGAGTGAAATTGCTGGGCCATATGGTAATTTTATGTTCAATTCTTTTGTGAACTATTAATTTTTTCCACAGTGGCTGCACCATTTTAAATTCCCAAATATATTAGTTTTTAATATACCATACCCTTTCCCAAACAAAATTTTCATATTTTAAATTATGGCCATCCTCCTGGGAATGAAGTTGTATCTCACTGTGGTTTTGGTTTGCAAATGACTCATTGTTTAATGACTGATGATGTTGACCATCTTTTAAAATACTTATTGAACATCTGTACATCTTCTTTGGTGAAGTGTCTACTGAAGTCTTTTTGCTTTTTAAAATTTTTTTTCCTGTTGTTCAATTGCGAGTGTTCTCTATGTGCTCCAGAGGCCAGACCCTGACCACRTATTGTAAAGAAAAACAGAGAGACAGGAAAGCAAGCAAGGTGCAGGGGCAAAGTACCGTGGCCGCTCCTCTGAGCTGCCAGCTTCATTTATATCCATAGTTACATTAGGTCATTGACATCATTAGAACACATTGCTCACTGTATAAAGTTACTGTTACRTGGGCAAGTTTGGGTGCGGTGACATATTGGTGTTGTCTAAGAGAGTTCCTTTATTCCTGGAAGCTGAGTGTCTGAGATGAAGGTCGAGGCTGATAAGACTCTAGCACAGAGCCTCCTCACAGASGACGTTACCACAGCAGCCAGGCATTGAGCATGYCTTAGTCGTCTTACTAGTTCCAGGGAGAAACTGTAGAATATTCCAAGTGTGGATAACAGGATGCCTGTTACCCTCTGAGAGTTTGCTCACCAGAGGAACGCTGCCCGGTACATTTCCACAGCCAGAATCCTTACAGCATAGACCCCTGCAGCCTTTCTGTGGGGTGTTTTTCATGCTCCCAATAATGTCTTTTGGTGAATGAGAGTTTTTGACTTTGATGAAATCCAGTTTATTTTTTCTTTCCTTGCTAGCTTATTTTCTGTCATACCTAAGGCTGTTGTCAAGTTCAAGTTCACAAAGTCTTTCCTCCAGGTTTTCCCCTAAGAGTTTTGGCTCTTACATCTAGGTCTTTGGCCCCCTTGGGTTGCTTTTGCATACGGTGTGAGGTAGAGGTCTAACGTCACCCCGCTGCGTGTGGCTGTCCRGCTGTACCCACACTCCTTGTGGAAGAGACATTGAAGGGTCTTGGCTTCCGTGTCAAAAACCACTTGGCAGAGATGCAGGAATGTACTTACAGAGCCCCACTCCTGTTCCACTCCCAACCCTGTCCTGCGCACAGGGTTGATCGTCACGTTTCACAGCTATTTTGAAATCGGAATGTGTGAGTCCTTGGGGTTTTTTCCCTTCTCAGTCTTGGGTATGCAGGACTCGCTGCGGTTTCCCAGGAATTTTATGATCAGCTTCTACATTTCTGGAAAGTCACCACTAAAATTTTAATASAGAATCTGTGGATTTCTTTGGCTGGTCTTGCCATCTTGACAATATTGACTCTTCCTACCTCTGAATATGGAATGCCTTTCACTTTTATTTATTTATCTATTTATTAATTTTTTTCACAAACATGTTGTAGTGAAATTTTGTAAGTGGACATCCAGTTTTCTCAACATTTTATTAATGAGCCCATTCTTTCCCCGCTGGGTATTTTTGGTGTCTTTAAAAAAATTAGTTGGTTGTGTACTTGTGGGTTTATTTTTGGGCTCTTTATTTTGCTTTGTGGGTCTATGTGTCCATTTATATGTCCAGAGTCATAATTTTTTAACATTTTTTTTCATTACTTTTTATTGGTGCATAATAGTTAGACAAAACTTTAGAATTCATTTTGATATAATTATAAATGCGTGGGAGGTCTTTCCATCATCTAAGTTCTTCTTCAATTTCTTTCTTCAATGTTCTATAGTTTTCATTGTAGAAGTTCTTCACATTCTTCATTAGATAAATTCCCCAGGTATTTTTTCAGGTTATCTTGAATGGGATAGTTTTCCTGTTTTGTTTTGTTTTTCCTGGAGATTCATCATTGGGGGTGTAGGAAAGTAGCTGATTTATGTATGTTGATCTTGGATCTTGCTACTTGACTAAATTTGTTTATCAGCTCTAGAAGTCTTCTGGTGGATTTTTTGGGTCTTCCAAATATAGGATCATGAAATCAGCAAACAGATCATTTGCCTTCTTCTTTGTATTCCCTTAATTTTCTTCTTTTG